CTATAGGTTGACGCTGCACCATTTGAGCCTGGTGTGTGAACTGTTCTCAGCGACCTTGAATCATGGACTAGTGTCTCCCCTAGGTGGCACTTACCTGCCTTTTAACCTTGACTGCATGACCTGGCCACCCAGTGAACAGGGAACTATTAACCTTCATATTTCTACTAACAGTCGGTTCAAGGCAATCTAGGCTTTCTCTATCATGCTCTTACCTACCAAAATTCTCTACCCTGCCCTTCTTTATCAAAATTCTTCCAGCCTTTTCCCATTGCCCAATACCAAAGCCATTTCCGTATTTTTTAGGTGTTTGTCATCAATTTCCCCAATCCCCAGTTAAAAGATCCCTATGAGTTTCCTGTGGTTGCTGTAACAAATTACCAAAAAACTCAGTGGCTTAAAACAACACGAATTTCTTACCACCTAGTTCTGGAGATCGTAATTGTGACACGGGTCTCGCTGGGCTAAAGTCAAGGTATCAGCAGGCAGGCCTGTGTCCCTTCTGGAGGCCCCGGGGAGAATGCATTTCCTTGCCTTTCCAGCTTCTAGAAGCCACCTGCATTCCTGGCTCCTGGCCCCCTCCTCCGTCTTCAAAGCCAACAGCGACTGAGTCTTCCTCGTGCTGCCGTCTTTCTGGTACTCACTCTTCAATGTGATTACATTGGTCCCACTTGAATAATTTAGAACAATCTCCCATCTCAGGGTTAGCTGGTTAGCAATCTTAATTCTATCTGCAGTTTTAATGGTCACGGACGTGTTGCCTTGGGGCTGGCAATGCCGCCTCAGTTATGCTCTTCCCTACATCAGCTCAGTCTCGCTCTGCTCTGCCTTCACCACTCTCAATCCTCCGTGCCAAGACTCATGCATTCAACAAGCAAGCAAACAAACAAACAAACAAACAAACAAATTCCTCTGAGCCCCTGCTGTGTGCAACCACTCTTCTCAGCATGGTGGGTATAGCAGTGAAAAAAACAGGGTTTGTAGCCCTTCCTCACCTCTATCTCTCTCACTTGCTAACTGCCCTGACCTCGGCTGACCTTGATCAGCATCCAAGGAACCTCTCATCTCTTGTCATTTCTCAATTTTCCCAAAGCATCATTTCCCCTTCATCTTCACGTATCTCTGTAGCCAGTGTGGCCCCCAGGGGTCTCCAAACTTTTTCCATTGTATCTTCTATCGGTAATAAAATCTTGAACACAAACCTCCGGTATATGCATAATTACTGTTTGTAAGTTATATACATGTTAAGTGTTATGTGATAAAACACACACTCAAAATTGTGAAGGGAGGAAGGAAAAACTAAAGATAAATGGAGGTTCTTGTGTTTTTTCTCTGCCCTTACCCCAGCAATCTTCCTTCTGCCCTCACTTCCTCTCACTTGCTCTCCTTGAGGTCGCTGAGTCATCAAGTCCGATGGACACTTCCTTTCCTGGTCCCAGAAAATGACAGAGCTGGCACCTCAGTCTTCTTTGGCGGCTCCTGTGTCCCTCATTTGACAGAGTTCCACCTCCCACCTGTTACCGGGGCAATCTGATGCAAACTTGGGCCTTTAGACTGCTTGGAGGTTATTCGCAAAGGATCTGATCTTCTCCAGGGCAGCTGGAATGACTCTAAATTGCAGATCAGATTAGGACCCTCTGGCTAAATCAGTCAGCGGCGTCCCACTACATTCAGAATAAAATCCCCAATCCTCCTGGTGGCCTGGTCAGTCTCCTCCACTGTCCCCTCTCCCTTTCTGCTCCAGCTCCACTGACCTCTTGTCACTCCCTGAATCTTGGCCAGCTTTCTGTTACTTCAAGACATTTGCCCCTGTGGTTCCCTTGGCCAGGCTCACATTTGTGCTGATTCTCTCACGACTGGCCCTCTTCCTCATTCAGGGGGGTCTTCCTCTACCTCCCCAGACAGAGGGAAAAGAGCAGTTCCCCACCTGTCACCCTGTAGGCCGTTCCATTTTTCTTTACCGCACCTCTCACTCCATGATGTTGTTTTCCTCATAGCTGTAGCCCCAGAGCCTGGAACACAGTAAGTGTTCAACAGATGTGTAGAGTTTCCCCCAAATCTCTATTCCTGCTTTCAGGAGCTCCAGAGCCATATGGCAACTTCCCTCTAGACATCTTCTGCATGTCCCATGAGTCCTCCTTCTCAACATGTCCAAAAATTTTACCTTTCCCCCAAACCTGCACTCAGCTCCCAAAACCATTCAACTTTGGCCCACATTAGAAAACTGGTGGAAATGCCAAAAACGCCTCCCCTGTGATTGCCTTCTGGTCCCCAAATCCTCCTGAGTTTCTCCGAATTCTCCTACATGGCTGAGCCCGACCACTGCTAGCTTTGCAGACCCCTCATTACTTTTTATAAACTGGCCTCCCTACCCAAGTTCTGCCTAATCCTTATTGCTGCCACAACACTCTCCGAAACTCAGTGATCACGAAAACGCTGAGATGACCTCGAGGACAAAGCTCAGACTCCGTCTGGCTCATGAGGACCCACAGGTTGTAGATCAGACTCCTACCCCACTCTGGATTCGCTTTCAGGCCAAACTACGTGGAGTTCCCCTAAACACCTCCACATCTCTGTGCTGTTCTCTCACCTGGAACACCCATCCTTCACTTCCCTGCTGCACCTTCTCCACCTGCAGCAATCCTTTTTGTCTTTCCTAATTCCACATCTTCCTTCTGTGCAACCACAGCACCAGCCCCATACCTTTCTCTTCTTGTTGAATTTTACTAACCCATGTAAATATACATATCTATCAGTATAATATTTCTATATGTAGCTGTCTGTGTCTACAGTAAGCTGAACATGAGCTCATACCAATACCTCCAACTCTAATCTTTTGGCACATGGGTCATTCTAGATTCCCTCTCTTGGCTTATCTGTAATTTCCCACTGCAATAATGAGATGGTCTCGCCATCTGTCATCCATTTACTTGACTGTTTGATCTCAGTAGACAGGTCTCTCATTGTATTTTACCTGTGGGTTTATTTGTCCTCAAGATCAAGGCTCATTCCCAAACACTTAACAATAACTAAGGACTTAATAAACGCCAGGCACTGATCTAAACACATCATTTAATTCTCATAACCAACCATGTGCGACATTTATTGTTAGCTCCATTTAACAGAAGAGGAAACTGAGGTACAGAAGAGCCAAGGAAGTTGACAAAGTTGCGCAGTTACTTCGTGGCAGAGCCAAGGCTGGCCCCAGGGAGTAGACCTCCAGAGTCAGGAACTCCACAGCCTTCTGGAGCACAAGGTGTTGTGGGTAACATGACCTGAATTAATAACGCCACCGTCCTTTGACTTCTGACATTCCAGCCTTAATGCTCTTCAGAGTTGAGAGCTTCTTCTTCGTCTGTTTTTTGTGGCCCCTCCACACTGCAGATCTCCGGTGCACAAGGTCAAGGATGGTTCAACCCCAGCATTGTGCCATTTGTCTGTGCCCTCACTATTCTTATAAGTTATTTAATTCACCCCTCTACTCACATGAAAGCTGCTCCCAATTCCACCTCTGTCCCGCCTGGCCCCTGGCCTCTGCCCCTCTAAATCCCAGAAGATTTTGTATCCTGCCAGAGGCCCTTCAGTAGGTGGTCCCTCCACTTTCTTTTCCCATTTCTCAACGTTTTTTCCACCTTTTTGTACACATTTTCTTCACACACACACAGGTCTCTAAGAAAAGCCTCTAGTTCTGCTGCATGTGTGGGGGGCACTCTCTCCTTGTTTCCTCCCTGCCTGTCACACCTTCAGGACCCCTCGGTGTTCCCTATACACCTGAAAACGTGCAGAGGCTTCCCCAATCTTAAATTTAAAAAAATCACACCTTTGCAACAACCTCACCTCTCACTTTTCCCCTTCTTTCAGGAAATATTGCCTGAATTCCTCCGCCATGTTTGTTCTAGGCAGTGGGGATTCGGTGACAAACAAAACTGGCCAAACCGGTGTTCTTCAAAGGGCTGACACTCCAGCTCAGTCAAACTGCTTGAAGGAGAAGGGAACGTCCCCCACGCCCTACTTACAGAAAAGAAGCACATCTTGGTGGAAAATGATCACATTTGTTTTATTGCGTATACAGAGGCAATTCCTCTAACAATATAATTTAGGAATAATCTCTGACTCAGTTAGAGTCTCCATAGAGACCTGTTCCCCTGCTCCTTAGACACCATTACTTGTGACATCACATTTTCCAAGAGCGGTGATTCTGGAAATGGATCTGACAAGAGGCTGAATTCCTCTATGAACACATGCCCAGGGTCCCCAGAACACCTACTGGAATGGAGAAAAGTTTGTTTTTCTGGCCAAATTTGATTCCTTCCATCTTGCCACCATAGTAATGATTTTTTTTTTTTTATGAGAGCTGGTGTTACCAGGAGCCACACAATGGCTAACCCAGCATGGCTGAGGGACAGCTGCTCACTATGATTCGGGGTTGCTGATGAGTCAATCCGGAGAGAGACAGCCTGGCTTTAACAACGGCACAGAGCCCCTCAGGCAGTCCCAGAAGGGCCTGCATTCCACATTGGATTTGTCCTAGTTCTGGATATTTATAGATAACTATTAGTCCAAAAAAAAGCCCAAGAAAGGAGCTCTACACAGGCCCCTCCTCTTAAGTTACTGCTCCGAAGTGGAAGATGGAAATTCCTTCAGTTCCTCCTTTTCTGGGTGCACCTCTGACACCTTATTCATCTTGGCAAAAATCTGATTGATCTCCATGAATGTCTTGCCCTTGGTCTCAGGAACAACCAGGAAAGTGTAGATGGTGGTGAGAAGACATATTACGCCAAAAATGACGAAGCTGTAAGCTTTAAGGGCCGCCTGTGGGAAGGGGAGCCAGGTTCACTTTTCTGAAAATGTTCTCCCGTACCGCTTGAGGATTTTGTAAATGCAGCCCTCCCTCCCCGCGCTGGGGTCACACTTACTTGAATGAAGGGGAAAACCAAGCCCACAGCGAAGTTGGAGAGCCAGTGGACACTGCCTCCCACCATGAAGGCGGACGGACGGGAGGACTGCAAGAAGACCTCAGTGATAAGCAGCGCGGGGATGGGGCCTTGGGGGAGGAAGAGGGAGAGCTGACCTCCGTGGAGGCAGAGCACAAGGGTCCCAGAGCCCCTGCCGTGGGCAAGGTGCCCTAGGCCTGTGGTCCGAGGTAAGAGCAGTGAGCCTCCAGGGCTCCCGGTCTCGCGGAGAAGCAGTGTGAGAAGGCCAATAGGAAGAGTTCAGGACAGTCACTGACATCCTGGGAGGTCCCTAACAGGGGCCTGTGACCACCTGCGGCTCTCAGTGCCAATCACACAGGCTATTTTACTGTTTTTGCTGTAATTAAGCTCTGCCCAAACCCCAGGGCAACAGGAAGATGCTCCTTCCTCAGCCAGGACCCCCACTCTCAAGAGGCCCTTCCTCCCTGGAGCCTGTCGAGGGAGCTCAAACCAGAACTTTCTATGGCTGATGGTGCAGGAGAGGGGCCAATGAAAGCACAGGACCAGCTCTGGGGTACATACTGGGCCCAAGGGCATGTCCTATGACGTAGGCGACGACACAGGTGATGCTGAGGTAAGGCATCCACGATATTGTCTCCTGTGGGGGAGAAAACAGAGTTGGATCACACCTAGAGACCACCTGGGACAGGGACCCTGGTCCCCAGAGGCTCCAGCCACTCTGCCTGCTTAGGGAAGGATGGTACCTGACTCCGCCTTTAACAGGCGATGCCACTGGAAAACCGGCTGGAAGTGGGCTACTGGGGGAGGGGCTGGGGGCCACACATGGTCAACCCCGGGCCCCTCCCCGCTCACCTGCAGAACCAGAGCGGCCGTCAGCACGCAGCAGGCAGTGAAGCAGATGGAGAAGCCGAGGAGGAGCAGGACTCTCCGCCCCGAGAGTTCCACCACGAACACCTGGAGGGGAAGGGGTGAAGGAAACGCAGGAAGCACAGGGGGCGGGCATGCCCTGGCAGTGCCGCCAGAGCCCGGCCTGGAGCTGCCTCCCAGGAAGCTACTCAAGGTCCCACACACTCCTTCTGAAGGGGCACTGTGAGGACAGCACATGTGCTGTGGGCCCCCAGGGGTGTGCCCTTGAAGGCCGGTGGGCCATGACATTTGCTCCTGTGACATTGTAGCCCTGGCACAGGCAGTGGCCTCCAAGACGTTGGAGAGCCACCTCACACAGTGGGGGCTTTGGGACTGGAGTGTGTGTGAGGCGGGGGTTCTCCATCTTTGCAGGGCCATAATCCGCCTCATGCAAGAGACAGGCTGTCACCTGAGGAGAGCCCAGAGGTTAGACATGAAGGGACTGAGGGGTATGTTGCCCCCTTAGATCCGGGCTCCTTCGTCGGCCAGGACCCCCAGTCTCAAGATGCCCTCCCTCCTTTGTAGCTGATGGGACTCAGCTCTCCGGGACACTCACAGCCAAGACGGTTATCACCACGTTGACAGCCCCTGTGCCCGCCGTCACATACTGGATGTCATTGGTATTGACCCCAGCACTCTCGTAGATCTGGTCTGCGTAGTAGTAGATCTGGAAGGCAAACCCAGAGGCTGGTGGGGCCAGCCACAGCCTGGACACTGCCCTCTGCCCTCTGCCCCTGGTCCCAGGCTGCCCCCTACCGCATTCACTCCTGACAGCTGCTGGCCTCCCATGAGGACGATGACCGAGATGACCTGCCACCGCAGGGACCTCATCTGGAAGAGCTTCACGATGGAGATGAAACCTGCCGCCCTCTCAGCCTCATCCTCCTGCCGGATTTCCTCCATCTCAGCGTCCACGTCATCCCAGCCGCGCAGCCTCTGCAGCGCTAAGGGAGGGGAGCAAAGGGCTGTCCTCGGGTGGACCCAGCTGTCCCGGAGCAGAGGCGCTGCGACCCCGACCCTCTCCTCTCACAGAAGAGCCTCACCTTTCTTGGCAGCTGCCGCGTCTTTCTTCTGAACCAGCAGGTACCTGGGGCTCTCGGGGAAGAAGGGCAGCAGGAGAAGCTGCAGTGCTGCCGGGACCCCGGTCACCCCCAGGAGGACCGGCCAGCCTAAGAGGAAACCAGCATCTTACCCGAGAGCTGGCTCCAACGCCACCTCTCGGCCAGGCCCACTCCAGCCAAGAAGCTGCCTCATGCCCTCCAGCCCCCACGGCGCCCAGCCAGCCACTCTGGTCCGTCACCCTGATGGGTTTTCTTCAGAGCTGGGAGACAGGCTCCGAGGAAGCAGGGCCTTTGTCTTTCTCACCCCTGTGTCCCCAGCTCCTAGGATGGTGCCTAATGAACAGTGGACACTCTGAAAATACTGACAGAACGGACAGTGATGAATAGCCGCTGCCCACCTACCAGATGGACAAAATGAGAAACTCTGACACCGCCAAGTGCTGGCGAGAATGTGGGCAAATGGAAAGTCTCCATGAGGTCGTTGTGTGGACACGTGGCATCTTTAGAGGACAGTCTGGCAGGAGCTGGTGATGCCAGACGCCCTCACACGCTTTGACCCAGCGGTCCCGCTCAGGTATACGCCCAGGCCACCAGGACACCCAAACTAGAATGGCCGGAGCAGCCCTGATTCTAGAATGAAACCGGAAACAGTGCAAGGTGTCCATAGTGGTAGGATGGATACATAAATCATGGTGTGTTCACAAAATGGAATTCTATGCTGCAATGAAAATGAAGCAAGGCGTGACCGGAGCCGATCTCACAAACGCGATATTGGGTACAATAGTCTACACAGTCGGTTCCATTGTATCAAGTCCAGAAATAGAGAATTAACTCTATCCTTGTGAAAGGTGGTGAAACTGTAGGGAAAAGCAAGGATGAGATGATCATAAATATGGGCACAGTGGCTCCCTTTGGGGTGGGGAGGCCAGGATTGAGGGGCACACAGCGGGCTTCCGGGGCGGGGGGGCGGCTGGTGCCATTCTAGTTCAGGACCTGGGTAGCATCACACAGGTGTTTGATTTCTATTTGACTAAAAGTATTTATGTTTTATGCACTCTTCCTTACGTACGTTTTATCGCACAAGAAAAATGGTTCAATAAGTGAATGAGTATTGAGGCTCCTTGTAAGAGCTGTCCATGCCCCCACTCACCCCCTTTGCTTCGTGCGGTCAGTGATAACTGGGACCTCTGTGTGCCAGGCGCTAATCTAAGGGTTCTTCTTGTGTTACCTCACTTCGCCATCACGGCAATGCCATGAGGCAGGTACCAGGACCAACCCCACTTTACACATGCGAACACCGAGGCCTGGAGGGTGGAGGCCCTTTGTTCCAGATCAGTTATTTAGAAGCAAAATTGAGATTTGAACCCAGCATGTTGAAGCCTGGGTGCTTGAACTATGTGTTATATTCTTAGTCAAAGTTATGGCGATGACCACTTGACAACCAGTGACTTCTCACTGGTCTCTTACAANATCACGCTGCCCTCATACAGCTTACATTCTAGTGAGGGGAGGAGGCAGGGGGCGTCGAGGGGGAAGGAGGAGTCCAAATAACGATAATGCTATGAGAGCACTAGCAGAAGGTGTTCGGTAGGGTGGACAGAGGAGGCCTCTCTGAGGAAGTGCCTTGGAGCTGAGCCCTGAATGGATTAGAGGGAGCAGCCTGTGAGCATCTGGGGGAGGAGTGTTCCAGATGGAGGGAGCAACAGAGACCCTCAAGCACACGTGAGACTTGTCTTTCACTCCAGGATAGAGATCAGGAAAACCAAGGCAACTGCTTCCATGGCTACCACAGCACCCAGGGCAGCTCAGGGGAACTGGCCCCAGAGCCAGAGTCTGAGGAGGGGGTGGCAGAATTGGGGCAGGGTCTGCGGCTACCTGAGTTGGTGCCTCCCAGGGCTCTTTCCTGAGTGGGGTGGACATCTCCCTCCTATTCAGGTGAGAAACCAGCTGGTCCACCCACCCCTCTGCTTGTCCGTGAACTGCACCCCTGACCCTTGCCTCCACCACCAGCTGTCTGTCAACAGCCCTCAGCCCCACACACCTGGGAACCAGAAGGGCAAGATGCAGGATTCAGGCACCTTCAGAGGCTGGGGAATAGGACGTGGGCAAAGGTTGGAGGGAGGGTGACATCTCCAATGTCATCCAGTCTTCCACACTTCACTGGAGCTGGACCCAACCTCCCTCTCTTGTGTCTGAGCTGTGTTGGCCGAGGAAGCTGCTTTCCCCCCACTGACCCCCCAGGGCTGGCGACACCCCAGGGAAGGCAGGGGCAGTGCTGTCCTCTCTTTGCCAGAAGCATTTCAAACGCCTTTCCCTCCCTCCATAGGTCCCGCCTCCCAATGGGAAAGCAACAGTGACAGTTTCTTAGACTTGGCACTTACCGCCTCCCTGGGTGGGGTGGGCATCTCCATCCTGTTCAGGTGAGAAACAGGTGTGCTCCCAAGCGATGCCCGGGTCCTGCTCGGTGCTGACTGCTTGCTCAGGACCAGCTATTTCTGTCCGGGGCCTGGTTTTATTACCCTCTGGCCTCTGGACCCTGTTGACTTTCCCCAGGAACACATTTTCCTCGGATGTGCTGATAAGATAAATTTCACACACAGCATGAATTTTGTCTTTGCCTCTGCCAAGCCCCACACCAGAGCCTCCCCAATGGCACCAAGGAGGGGAAAAAACACTCTCTGCCACTGGTCCCTAGAAATGAGGAGTCCTGGAAACCCAGTCAGGCCTGGTGGCCAGGATCTTGGATGCTTCTCCCGTGTTCGTTCCCTGCCTGTGCTTCCTCTTACAAATTTGGAGTAATTGTCCATTTTGGGGGAAAAGAGCAAATGAAATATTTTTAAAGACATACAACTTAGTATTTTCCAATTATACTTCCTGGTATTAAATAAGTGGGTAAAATATTGAACCCAGGTGCTCATTTCAGAATTATCTCTATTAGCAAAAAATAGAGTAGGGAATGACTGAATAAATTATGACAGATCAGCTGGTTGGAATCCCAGGATGTGGTTCAAGGGATAATTATGAAAATTACATAAGAATGTGGAAACATGTTATGGTAAGTGGCCAAAGCAAAATACACTGGGGTGTCTGGGTAAAAATGTGTCAGCGTGTGGGTAGTAGCATGACACTACACCACAGGAATAAGAGAACACGAGGTCCTTATTTCTCCTAATGGCCTTCTCGTGACAATTTAGGTATTCTCTAAAGTGCTATATGTTTTATCTGTTGTGCCTTCATCCCTTCTGAAGCCTGCTAGTGGAGTTAACTGTTAGGAAAGGCATGTGTCTTTTGTCCCCTACTCGCTCTGTCACATAAGAATGAGCCCTGGACTGGGACACTGCCCGACCAAGACAGAAAAAGCCCTCACAGCCTGTGCTGACCTTGTCACCTTATGAGGGATTCTCTTTCCTGTTTAAGGCTCAGTGTGTTCTCCTGTGTTCTGCTTAAAGAGCATGTGGCAATGGCCCCCGGGCATGCCCCAGCTTTCTGTATTTCAGACCCCATGGGGGAGGACTGAGGGTGCAGCCACACTGCCCTCCACACCTGCAGAGAGGGGGCGGGGGAGTGGGCACAATGAAAGGAGCTGGATCTTGTG